TAATATTTTCGATGCTTTACAATGCATCAAACTGCCTAACAAGCAAACTTAATAGCTAAATCTCTCATTATTAGATGAGTTTAACACTAGTGGACACTAGCCAAGTCATCTGTGGTGAGAAGGACAAGTTCATTGCTTCCCGGAGTGGCGATGCCGATGCTTGAACCAGCTGGGCAAATGATTTCCATTTCAAAGCAGCCACCTTCCTGAAAATGAATTGATTGATTGAATAGCTATTATAATATCAAAGAGATTATGGTGCCTGTATAGCAAAGTTCAGCGTTGGATCGGTGGGTGGGACGACCGAAGTGCAAATGGTGCCAGGGCTGAAAGTTTTTTTGTTCTGTCTGCTTGTAGACTTTAGTCCAAAACTTGATTCATTTATAAAGTTCCTACCAGTCATGGCAATAATCTCATCACACGTGGCGGTATCGTCATAGAATTGATCAACGTCCGTCGGGCAACTCATACAAGCTGAATACTCAGGATATGTTTAGATTATCTTTAAGACGCACTCAAAGTACTGGTTGTCGTGCTTGCTGGAGTCGTTGTTGATCCTTGAAAAGAGTATTTCCAGTAATAGTAAAAACAACTACAAAGCTTACTCGTCGTTGTCGTCACAGGCGATGTGGCAAAGCAACAAAGGAAAGCTCAACAAAGACAACAACAGTAACAGGATCTTGAAGAAGAGTATGATCATTTTGAAGCAGAATGTCAAAAGGAGGGTTTCCAGAAATGAGTGAGTTTGAGTTTTTCATGTTAAAATGTCTTGAAGGATCTCATTTCGTTGAGTGGCTCTCTTTCTTCTTTTTTCCCTTAAACAACCTCCTTCTCAAAAGAGATAAATCACAACTTTCTCATGACATTAAGTGAAATGTTAATCTCGTCTAGACTACGAGGCTTCATTTTCAGGATTCGTTTTAATTGGAATGCTTTTAATCTTTGGGAGACTGATGGAATTTCAACTTTTAAGACAGAAAAATCAGTACTGAAGCTTTTGGAGGCTTTATCTTCTAGGAAAACAAAACATAAAATGGGTGAATTATCGAGTTTTAGCGTCTATGAAAACTTTAAGCATTGAATTTACATTTCAGATCTTAATCATTCAACAATAACACTCCTTTTCCGGCGTCTATGAAAACTTAAAAATAAGCATTGACTTTTACATTTCAGATGTTAATCATGCAACAATAAACTCCTTTTCCGGCTTCAAAACTACGCTGTTTGTCAGCTTGTAAATGATGAAAGTTTCTTGATGAAATGTGAATTCTTTTTTTGGATTTTGGAATCATTTTATCTCTTATCACAAATCCGTAAACTCCCAAAAAATGGATTAAAGGCCAAAGAAGAATAGAAAGAAAAGAAGAACTCTGAAATCATGGCTGTAAAAAGGGTTTCACTTTTTCAAAATGAAAAAGCTGATCCGCTATTTTTGTTGTTCTCCATTTTTACATCTACTTAGCAATAAGTCTTTCTAAAACCATTGTTTTAATAAGATCAGACATTGATTTCTAGTTTATTAATAATAAAAAAGAATTTTGGTTTGGTTTGGTTAGACTTTTCTAAATAAAGTCTAACTTCTTTATCTTTTTCAGATGGGAAAAGCCTTCCTATTTCTTGCTTGTCTTGTTTTGGCAACTCAAGCAGTTGACAATGATCCGGAGATCGAGATGAATGCGGTGATTTGATGAAGCTTGTGTATGACCCCAAGCAAAATGACTTATTATAATTTTCTTTAACTATGAGACGTTAAGCCGATGTGCTTATTGTGCTTTTTCAGCCTGAAATCATTCAACGATGGGGCTACCCGGTAGAGATTCACACAGTTGAAACAACCGACGGTTATTTGATCGACATTCACCGAATCCCGGCTGGGAAGAATCGTAAGTTGAGAAAACTTGAATCAAAAAAAGATTGAATTGATTAAAAGTTCAATTTCCCAGAAGTGCAAACTCCAAACAAGCCAGTCGTCTTCATGCAACATGGTTTCATGTGTGATTCAAGCAACTGGATCGTCAATTTGCCAGATCAATCAGCCGGTTAGCTTGTTTAAAGAAGTTAAGTGTTGAAGTTCTTTTAGGATTTATCTTTGCCGATGCTGGCTACGATGTTTGGCTTGGGAATGTCCGTGGAAACACATATGGAAAGAAGCACAAGACTCTTAATCCAAAATCCGAGAAATTCTGGGAGTTCTCGTGAGTTTTGAAAGTAAAATCCACTACAGAGATCGGATGCTCCGCGACATAGGATGTATTCTTAAAACTACATGATTTAGATGTATTTATTTGAAATGAGAACCAGAATACTTTAATATCCTAATACTAAATCTTATCAATGAAAATTGAGTGTCGAATCGGCTCGTTGGCTTTTAACACGTTCGGGACGATTCGGTCCACCGGTGGACGAAATTTTTGACTTCTCACTTCTCAACTTTTTAAGATAATTTCAAAATGTAAAAAGATTCGATTAGTTCTAATCAAGACCTATAAGGTTGCGCTATAAGGAGAAAGAGAAATGCGGCGTTTTGTCTCACGAGCCAAAAAAGCCGATATCTTTTTGAGGCAGCAATATTTTCAAAATATGATTAGAGATTCGGATTCAGTATGAAATTTTAGATATAGGAGGTGTATTTCGGGACTAATAGCTCTGCGAGACACCCCTCGTCCACTGGGGCAGTAACGCAAAAAAACGCCTCGTTTTGAAACGTCGATTGATTGTTTTGATAATTGACGGTTTTGATAATATCCGATCTCCCCAAATGCTAATTCATCATGGCAAATTCCTAAGAGTAACTCGCGATAATTCTTTTAAAAATGCATAATGTCTAATGCAAATAGTTATATTTACTGGGTTGTCCAGTTATGAATGCGCGTTTTTACTATTTTGTAAATTTCTCAAGATATCGAACAGATGTATATCAGTGTTATATATCATTCGAAAGCTAGAGATCTCCTCTACATTTTGGAATAAAAAGGTTTTTGAATTCATTCAACTTTTTGGGGAAATTGACTGCACAAAGGGAGAGGTCGTTTTCGAAAAAACCCATTCCAGCTTAGCTATTCCTCAAGTTGTATGATGTAAAATAACCGCCCAGAATAGAAAAGAAAAGTAAAGATGCTCTGAAATTGTTATATTTAAAAAAGTTGTATTGATATATCTATTGGCCAAACATCAAACGGTTAACTCAATTTGAGCGGAGCCAAAACTTGATCCAAAAGCAACCTTCCATTTTTTGGCCACCTCTTCTTCTGTGCAGTCAATTTGCCCAAAAGCTGGACAAATTCAAAAGCTTTTTATATCAAAATGTAGAGGAGATCTTCAGCTTTCGAATAATACTCATATATGTCTTTTTCTTGATTTCGGTAGAATCTTCATGATTCTAATTCCCCAAAGACTTATTTTTCACATAAAGTTGCTGCTATTTAGCAAAGACTTCTGTGGCACCAACCCGACGAATGACTACTGTGACAATATTCTCTTCTTGATCAGTGGCCCAGAGAGTACGCAATTCAACGATGTTCGTTTATTTTTTTGATATTAGACTAAAAGTTGCTTAGTTTATTTATATTAACAGAAAACACTAGATATTTTTTAGCTGAAGTGAAGATGACACTTATTGAGGGGGCGACTTCAGGCAACTTTTAAATAGCTTAATGCTTAATGCTGCTATGGAATTAATCTCATTTTCAAACAAGATTATGAGCTACGATCCGAATTGAATGAGATCAGATCCGAATTGAATGAGATCAGATCCGAATGGAATGAGATCAGATCCAGGTGAATGAGATCAGAGATCAGATCCGTAAATAATGGCCCTTTTCAGTAAAAACAAAAATTTATTAACAAGATGAACAAATATCAACATCAATCAAAAGGTATTCTCCGTCGATCTTTAATGCACTTCTTTCCGCCTGTCACGGCCAGAACAACTGGATTCCTCTCCTGAAAAAGTCTTCTGGTTGATCGATCAAAGAACTTCTGCACTTACAGTCGGACTTCGTCAAGGCCATTGGGTATTTTTTCTCGACTCGAAAGTGTTGCATCGTTCGAAAAAGATGGTAATCACTAGGCCCCATATCCGGAGCTGTAAAAAACATGAGGAAGAACATTCCAGACCAACTCCTCGATTTTTCTCCATTGTAAGTTTTGCAGTGTGTGGTTTTAAATTATCATAGAAAAAATGAATTGAAGGATTTGAGAGTCCTTGAGAGCAGAATTGCTTGATCTACACAGTGTAGTTGGAGACGAATAGAGTTCTGAATTAACCGTTTGCCGGCTTTTGAGAACCTCGAAATGCACCAACCCACGAGAACTCCACCACACACAGAGGGAAGTTTTCTTTGAGTGAAATATCCGGCTTCGGAGTTGGTTTTGGGTCTTCGTTTGTGCTACGCCACTGTCGTTTTCGCGTTCGATTATCATAAAAGATCCATTTTTCATCCCAAGTGACAATGGAATCCAGGAAACTCCCCTTTTTCGCAAGTTTTAAGAATATTCCAGCTGTGATAACACGGGGAGAGAGTAGCCTTATTTTCTTAAGCTCAATTCATGCGGAATCCACTCTCCACTGCGGTTACTTTTCCCCAATGCATGAAGTCGCTTTTCGATTTCAGTATGCGAAAAAGCTAATCGATCTCTAGCTCGCGTGATGTTTGACTTGGATCCTCCTTTAAAACTGCTTCCAAAATATCGTTCTGCAGAAGTTCAGGTCGTCCTCGGCGAAGGCTCATCTTCAAGACTTTTATCCGATTCCTTGAACCGTCGATACCACCATCTCTTACTTTGTGTTTCGGAAAGAGCTTCATCTCCAAAAACTCGCAATAAATCTCTGTGGGATTCGGCAGCTGTTTTTATCTCGTTTGTAGTCGTACCAGAGACAGACACGCATTCGATATTTGAGATCTTCCATTTCTAAACAAGATTATTTGAAAAGTATCAAATCAAGGGAAATAAAAAACGCATAATAATACACCAGAAATTCATTAATATTCAATTAACAACAAGCGAGGGTAGATTAAACGCAAAGATTAAAGATTTTATCAAAAAGGGGCGAGGGCCATTATTTAGTTGCCAACCTAATA